GAGGCTTTCAGGGATGCATCTGATTCTATCCAAAATGGTTTGGTGATGTCGGGCTGTACCAACAGTGGTCAAGTCCTGAAACATTCCTTGAGTTGATTGATGGCTTTGTCGTGATCATCAGTCCAACCCCACTTGATCCCTTTTACCAATAGGTCAAATAGAGGTTGTGCAACTTTGGAATATCCTGGAATGAATTAGTGGTAGAAATTGGCAAAGCCTAAGAACCGTTGTAGGGCTTTGATGCTGTCAATCTTTGGCCAATTCAGTACTGCTGATACCTTGTCTTCTGCCATTCCTATTTGACCTGGTCGGAGAATGAACCCTAGGAATTCTACTTCGGATATGTCAAAGAAGCACTTCTCAGGTTTGAGAAATAGGTCTGATTCTTTCAGACGCTGGAGGACTAATTGAGTGCATTGTTGATGTTCTGCGTGGTCGGCAGAATAGATGAGAATGTCATCGATGTAGATTACTAGCCATCCTTCTAGTAGTAGATCTGCAAAGATGCCATCCATCATAGCTTGAAATGTTGCTGGAGAGTTTGTCATTCCAAAGAACATGACTGTTGGTTCGAATAACCCTTGTAGAGTAATGAATGCTCCTTTCCATTTGTCACCTTCTTTGATGCGCACATTGTTGTATCCTGCATGCAAATCAAGCTTGGTGAACATTGTTGGCTTGGCAGAGGTGATATGATCCAATAGATCTTCTACTCTTGGGATAGGGTAGGCATTCTTGATGGTGGCATCATTGAGTTTTCTGTAATCCTGACATGGTCGTAGATCTCCTGATTTCTTGTTGACAAAGAAGAATGGGGATGCCATAGGAGACTTTGATGGATGGATATAACCTTTCCGCAAGTTTTCCTCGATGAAGATGTCCAACTCCATGAGCTTTGCTGGTGATAACGGGTAAACCTTTCCTCGTTGAGGTTTGAAGTTGGCTTCTAAGTCGATTGCATGGTCCCAGGGTTTCCATTCCAGTAATTGTTCTGCAGTGCTTTTATTGAATACAGACAGGAAGGCTTTTAGGTATTCTGGGATGTTACTGGCAAGGGTCTTGATTGCTTGTAAAAGTTGATCCCAACAAAAGCGCATCTTTCCAGTGACCCAATTGATTACTGGGTTGAAACATTTGAACCAAGAGAGTCCTAGAATGATTGGATTTCTATCAAGTACTGTGGCATAGGCTTCTATATTCATTGGTTGTCCTGGTAAGGATATAGTGAAGAAGACTTTGTGTTTGATGGCTGTGGCTTTATTT